TGAGTGTTTCTTTTTTACTTTTATTCCTGGAAAAATCAAGTGAAACATTCCCCACTCATAAAGTGAACATTGAATTTTAAGAAAGACTGCTTCACTTCCACAGGATGCGGTTAAACAGGCTCACACTTGTGCCGTACTCTTGAGAGGATGTGGTCCCATTGAGGCAATCGTCTGTAGCTCAACGCTTTGATATGTACCTAGTTGTTTTTGGGCTATATTTTTAGCATTGCGAGCATGGATCCTTTCTATCAAATAGTGACAGTTTTAACATTTTACGGAACTATCACAAAAGGCCTCTCGTGTGTAACTAAGCCACTCAAAATTCTTGTGATTGCGTCAATCTATTTTGTGACACAAAGGTTTTTTATTTTGATAAAAACATCAGAAAAACCATGGGTCATTTTAATTCTTCAATGTGAAATTTAATTTTTTCAGTAAAGTACTGTATTAGTGGATTCCCATCAGTTAGCTGCTGCACCATTATCTCTAGAGGCTTTGACTCTCTTCCTCACCCAGGTTTGGCCCTTGACTACATCATCCATAGACATGAAGTCAAATTCCACTCTATATGTGCTGACCAGTTCTCCCTTTCCATCACTTCGCTTGAACCCTCCACCATCTATGTATTCTTAGGCTGCTGTTTGATGTCCTGTCTTGCATGAGTTTCAACTTCGTCCAGCTAAAACCTTAGATGACTTCACCTAATGTCTTTGATCTATGCCACAAACTCCATGTACCCCTGCCAAGAACTCCATTCCCTACACTGGCCACTGTCTTGGTTAAACCAAACTGTTTACAATATCAGGGTCCTACTTAAACCAAAGCTGAACTTTTGACCACATATTCTATCACAAAGACCTACTTCTACCTTTATAACATCACCTGCTTCCAACCCTACCTCAGCCAATTTGTCACTGAAATCTTCATCCATACATTCTCACTTCCAGACTCCACTACTCTAGTTTTCTGCAGGTAATAATGCTATCCTCCACCCTGAGTAAGTTTCCAGTCATCCAAATCTTTCTTTCCCTGTATCTTATCCAAACCAGGTCCTCTTACTCATCCTGGTCTTTGCGTGCTCAATGCCTCAGACTAATGATTATCAGACTATGATTATCAGGCTATGATTATGACTATTTAAACAATTTAATGAGAATTTTAAATCTCAACATGGTCTCACAGTCTCTATCTCTCTAACTTTCTCCTGCCTGTTCAACCTATCATCCAAATCTGCCACTCCTCTAACTCTGGCCTTTTGTGCATTCCTCCCCATGCTCCACCATTGGTGGCTATGCCTTCAACTGCTGGGCCCCAAACTCTGGGATACCCTCCATAAAACCCTTCACCTCTCTCTCTCCTCCTTTAAGACCAGCTGTAAAACCAGTTGAAATAACTCCACAGCGGCCAGTATCCCATCACCAAGTCACCCTTTATTTTCATGTGCACAGTACTTGACACTGGTCCGGCTTCCTCAGAGCCAGCTCTCAGTGAGCAGAGCCTCTGATGCTCCTGTTTATATCTGTCAGCCAGGGCTCCCTGATTGGACCAGATTAACAGCCCCAATCAGGGAACTCATTTTCTACAAGGTTCACCTGGCTGACCTTGTTACAATCACTGCAAAATTATCTCTCTTAAGCTTTTTGTTATCTCCACCTAAATATTTCCTCCATGGCTTGATGGTCATTTTTCTTTTGATAATGACCCCATGAAGCACTTTGGGAAATTTTTCTCCATTAAAGGTGCCATATAATGCAAGTTGCTACTTTCAGAGAGCAATGTTTGTTACTTGTCTGTAGTTGTGAGATGTAGAATGTCATTGTGACCATTTCGAAAAGAAAAGCTCTGCAGCCTGTTTATAAGCCTCTATATCTTGATAGTTCAGATATTTTCACAGCCATTTAACAGAAGCTGTTAATATAAAATTGTACATCATATGAGGATGAGGGCATAACTCATTGGATAAGTGCACCGCTTTGTGTTGTTCTGAGCTATAGCAGGAAGGATTTGAATTGGTTTGTGATGTGTTTGCTGGCCCTTGGCTGATGCAGTGCAGTTAGTGTTAATAGAGAGGGCAACAATTAGTCGAAGATCTCAGCTCTAACCACAGTTAGAAAGTGGGCTCTTGTGGTGCAGTGGTAGTGTCCCTACCTTTGGGGAAAATGACCTAGGCTTGTGTCCCATCTGCTCCAGAGGTGTGTCATAACATCTGTGAATGGGTTGATCAGGAAAGAAGTATCCAGATGAGGATAGAAGCGTCTCCTTTGATGCAGTAGCATTGTCTGTATCTCTGAGCTTAGAGGCCCAAATTCAAGTCCCACCTGCTGCAGAGATGTGTAATAACATCTCTGAGTGGGTTATTAGACAATATTCCTCATTCTTGTTGGGGTGTGGCTCATGTGGTGTATCAGTAGAGTCCCTACCTCTAAGCTAGGAGACCTAGGTTCACGTTCTACCTACTCCAAAGATGTGTAATAGTATCTCTGTACATGGTTGATTAGAAAATATCTAGATGAGGACTAGTTCTCTACCTCTGAGCCAGAAGGGCTAGCTCCAAGTCCCCCTGCTCCAGAGGTGAGTCAAAATATCTAGATGAGGGCAGGAATGGCCATGTGCATATGATGTTCCCATGAGCAAAAACCTTTTCATGCCTAGCAATCTAAATTCACATGTAAAGGATAGCTACTTTAGCAAAGTAGCAGAGGGTGTTGGAGCCTGTAGAACTATACCCAAGGAAGAGTTAACTCCTGAAAGAGATAAGGGAGACATTTAAAAATAAAAACTGATCTGGATAAGTTTTGTTTTCACCAGGTGCCTGATACACATGGGGAAGCCCCCACCATCTTTAATAACCTGCAAACCAGGCTGCTGAGAAATCAGAGTTTCTGTTTGCCTCATAGGGATACCACTACATACCTAATCAAACAGCTTTGACACAAATTGACACAGTCAAGTCTTGGGAAAACCCACCGCTGGAATTTAACTTCTTTATTAATACGGCTCCTTCATACCTTCTCGTTATTGGTTCAGCAAAATTACTTTGCCAGATAGGGTGTTGGTTTCTCACTGAATCATGACATATAGAATCCATTTGGCTCATCACACATGTGGCAGGGCTCCTGATGCTATCTAGTTGAATTCCATTTCTCTGTTCTTTCCTCAAGTCTTTTCATACTTTTTCTTTCTTAATACCCATCCAATTTTTATTTCCATCCCTCTCCAAAAGTGGGGTGGTTCACTGCTCACTCATTTGAAAATAGAATATATGCAGTATATTTAATAGGATCAGAATGTGTTAAAAATGCTTTTGAAGTACCATAGAAGTTTAAATATACATCATAACTGATGCAATGTAGAGAAACCGGTGGCCAATTTGTTCACGGCAAGACCCTACAGACAGCAGTGAGGTAAATGACCAGTTGATCCAACTGCATTATGGTAATGTTAAAGATGTGTGTAAGTTACCACAAGCTACCTTTAATTCAGCTACTTATTAAGAAATCTCACAGACAATGAAATACTGAAACAATTATTTAAACTTTATTGCATGTAGCAACCAAAATAAGATCGCTCAAGTAAGCAAGTTATTTGTCACAACCTAACTTGGCTATTACCCGATTAATGGTGGAGTTTAGCTATGATTCCAACCAACAGCATCTGTTGCTGGTTGTGTCCAGGGTTCAGTCCTTATGCAGTGTTTTTCTCTGGAGTTCTGTGACTGAAGAATCTTGGAGTTGAATTCTTATACCATTTTCTGTCCTTCAAGTTTATGGTGTGACATTATTGATGATCCTTTAGATTCTTTCATCCACAATATTGCAAGTCTGCAGCTTGGTTTCTTATTATAAGTAGCTTCCCTGTTCCTTGTCATATTTGGCATTAACTGTCTGTTTGAAGACACAACGTTCCTGCAATTAACTCCTTGAATTCTTCTGCAGGGCAATCATTTATCCAGGCATCCAGTTATCAAGCAGCTGTTGAAACAGTTTTGTCTATGTCGCTTCGACTCCTTTTTCCAGTCATGGCTAATTGCTTACAATTCCTCTATAACAATTTGTCCTTGTCCCTTAACTGTTTATTCCAGACAGAGTTACTGCTGATTCTTAAAGTTATTAAAGTTCTGAAGTTTACACTTTCACGAAGATAAACAGTTAAAAGGTAACTGTTGTCTTGGGAAAGGAGAACTTTGCCTGCCCTTCTTCAAATAGTGTCATGGGATATTCTCCATTCTCAAGGGTTCAGTTAGTGCCTTGGTTGAATGTCTCATGTGGAAGATGGTATCTCTGACATTGCAGAACTCTCACAGTATTGTTTTGGGAGGGTCTGTCTGCATTATATGCTCAAACCTTGAAGGTTTTTATTACTCATTCATGGGATATGGACACTGCTACAAAAACCAATATATATTGCTCATGAGAAGGTGGTGGTGAGCCACCATTCTTGAGTGCAACAGATTGACTTGTTGGGTCATTTTAGAGGGACTCTTCAGAGTCAGCCACATTGCTATGGGTCTGGATCACATGAGGCCAGACCAAGCAAGGACAGCAGATTTCCTTCCCTTAAGGACATCAGTGAACCAGATGGGTTGTTACGACAGTCTGGTTGTTTGATAGTCACTGATACCAAATTTATTTAATTTACTTCAAATGCCCTTGCTGCTTTGATGGGATTTGAACTGTCTGTGGATCATTAGCTCAGGCAGCTCAGCAACTGGTTCAGTAACATTACCATCATGCTGTTCTACCCTTGTGTTTTTTGACTTGATGGCGAGAGTGCTACCCACTGGCTGACACCGTTGGAGGGCTGAAAATCATGTCGAGGAATGGCATCACACATCAGAGAGTACACAGTGACAGAACTTCTGCTCTTGAGTACAACCAGTGGACTTAGACCGTAAACAATTGGAACAAGTGCTTATTTGTAGAAAACTTAAAACAGTTTCTTTTCAAAAAAAAGTCTATTTGTCTGGAGAATTTATAGTGTATTCACTGTGTCTCTGCCAGGTGGTCGATACAAAAAGGAAATCAATGTCAATGGTCAGAGCCATTTGCTGCTGATCAGGGATGAAGGAGGTCCTCCAGATGCACAGGTACGTGTTTAACACAGTTATTGGAACTGAGGCATATTGAGCTGCAGGAGGGAGAGATTAACCCTACTATAATCAGCTTTTCATGCGCAAAGACATAATTGTGAAATAAGTAGGGTTGTCTGGAGTCATTACACACACAAGTTTTAATCATTGCGCCTCTGAGACTGTCTGAGAGTTTCCATATCAAAAGTAAATTGTTTCGTATGCAAAACCATGACAACGTGAGGTGGGCTGCAAAAATAAACCTGACAAATAACGATCATCAGACATTTAAGTTTAGTTATAACATCTGTGATGTAAAACTAAGCAGAATGTTCTGGCATCTATGTCTGTCTGTCTGTGAAATGTTGGCTGTGGATCAGTTGCTAGCATTATTTTCCTCTGAGTCACAAGGTTCCAGGTTCCAGTCCCACTTGAATATGATCATAAACATCAAGGTTAACACTTCAGTGCGGCACTGAGGGAGCGCTGTATTGTTGAAGGAGGCCGTTGAGAAAGTAAACTAAGGCCCCAACTGCCATCTTCAGGTGGATGTAAAAGATTCTATTTTGAAGAAGAGTTCCTTCACTGTCACTAAGTCAAAATTCTAGAACACTGTTCCTACACTTGTCTGTACACCACAAGGACTCCAATGGTTCAAGAAAGTGGCTCACCACTACCTTCTCCAGGGCAGTTAGGGATGGGCAGTCAATAATGCCTGACCCAGAAACTCCTATATTCCATGAATGAATTAAAAAAAAGACTAGGATAATTTTCCCCAGTGTCCCAGCTAATATTTATCCCCTAGTCAACGTTATAAAAATAGATTATTGCATCATTATCAGATTGCTGCTTGTGATAGTTTGTTGTACATTTTTTGGCTGTTGCATTGCCTACATTTCAAGAGACTACAATTTCAAAAAGTACATCATTGACTGTAGCAAAGGGTCCCGACCCAAAACGTCAACTTTCCTGCTGCTCTGATGCTGCCTGGCCTGCTGTGTTCCTGCAGCTCCACACTGTGTTATCTCTGACTCCAGCATCTGCAGTACGTACTATCTCTGGTATTATGAAAAGTGCTTTATATATACCAGATTTTTTTATTGATGGTTATTCTCAATGAGGAGGCGGTGGGAAGGATGATTTGTTTCAGTGAGGCTGTCTTCTGATATCCATTATCCTCTGCCAGAAATTTGACATTTGGCAGATGGCAAAAGGAGGACAGAGTCCACATCTTGAGTGTAATGCCCAGTGTGGTTGAATAGTCTGCGACAATCCCTGTTTAAATACACACATAAGAAATGGCTATTCAGACAAGGTGCCAGGCAGTGTTGGGCTGGGGCTCCATTTCTGAAGAAGAGTCCCGACCCGAAACGTCAGCTTTCCTGCTCCTCTGATGCTGCCTGGCCTGGTGTGTTCCTCCAGCTCCACATTGTGCTATCACTGGCTCCAGCATCAGCAGTTCATACTATTGCCAGGCAGTGTTGGTGCCTGTTGTGCTGGATTCCAGGAAGAAGATGGCACAGTGGCTCAGTGGTTAGCACTGCTGCCTCATAGCGCCAGGGACCTGGGTTCAGTTCCACCATCGGGCAACTGTCTGTGTGGAGTTTGCACATTCTCCCCGTGTCTGTGTGGGTTTCCTCTGGATGTTCTGGTTTCCTCCCACAGTCCAAAGATGTGCAGGTTAGGTGGATTGGCCATACTAAATTGTCCCATAGTGTGTAGACTAGGTGGTTTAGCCATGTGTAAATACAGGGATAGGGTGTGGGGGTGGGTCTGGGTGGGATGCTCTTTGGAGGGTTGGTGTGGACTTGATGGGCTGAATGGTCTCCTTCCACACTGTAGGGATGGAAGTTGGGTAGTGTGTGAGACATTGAATTGAATCAAGTCAAAGGGAACATTTTCAAACACACTGGAAACGGAATTAACTTCACAAATGCTTGCACAAAATCAGTGATTGGGGGAGGGAATGCAGAATTCAAACTTACACTGGAAATATTGGCCTAAGGCATTGTGACAATTAGGTCTCATGCCTCATTGGCAGTCACAACTTTTCTGATTAATGCAAATCAGTGGGTCCTACTGCAGTTTATTGGTCAGATTCTGACTGATTCTGGCTGGTCCAGCTCTGGCTCCTGCATGTTTTGGGAGGTGTTTTTTTTGGTGGGGTGGAGGGGTGTGGTGAGGTAGTGTTCCCAGGGAAGAGATTTCCATAGCATTTTCGTAGAGCCAGGAGGACGAGGACTGGAGGCAGCTCATTTCTCCAAAGTAATTTCTCATGCACTTATAGGAATTAAAATTTATTCCCTGACCCTGTGCTAATTCAAAACAGTAAAAATACAGGTTCCTGATATTGAATTTCTTGCCCACTGTGTTTCTTTGTCTCTAGGAAGAAAAGATTTTATTGTAAACTATTTCAAATCTTTTTTTCCCTCCGGTGGTTTGAATAAAGGAAGTATTAAAATTTTAAATGCCATTAAATGTTTGAACTTGGCTGGCTTTAAATTCCCACGGGCATGATAAGCTGTTACATTAATATAGTGCTGATTGATGGGCTGTACTCCACTTTTATAATGCGTCCATTTTCCATAATAAAAGCACTCTGCCATTGAACAATCGACAAAATATCATAGCTTGGCATAATAGTTAAAAGATCAGTTATTGCACCTCATTATTATTTATATACAACAATTTGATTTATTATATTATGGACTGTGTGGAGATCTTCCATTGCTTGGTAGATTTCAAGGATAGCCTGAGCCTGAAGCCAACCTGCTATGGTACAAACAAATGATTGAGACAGACCAAAGTAGTTAGTTAAATAGGAATTGCCTCCTGGACACAGCTCATTAGCATGCTTTTGTGATTTTTTTTTCACCTGGAGCACCAAACAGGAGAGATGCTGAAGCTTAGTCAATCTTCCTTTGATCCTTTTGTTCCTCCATTCCTATTGTGGGATATTACAGCACAAATGCTGTTGGGCCTATTTTGATAGGTGCTGTTGATCCTGTTTGCACCACCCTATCTGGCATTATGAAGCTACCTGTCACCTATCAACAGTTGGAATACTATAAGGTACAGGTCCCCATATCTTTTTTCTAATTCATTTGCAGGATGAGGGCATCACTGGCTAGGCTAGCATTTATTGCCCATCCCAGAAGGTAGTTAAGAGCCAATCCCATTGCTGTGTGCCTGGAGTCACATGGAGGCCAGACCAGGTAAGGATGGCAGTTACATTAGTGAACCAGATGGGTTTTTCCAACAATTGACAATGGATTCATGGTCATCATTAGACTCTTAATTCCAGATATTTTATTGAATTCAGATTCCACCATCTGCCGTAGCGGGATTTGAACCAGGTCCCCAGAACATTACCTGAGTCTCTGGATTAATAGGCCATTACCTCCCCATCTGCACTTATAGCAGCAATATTCAAACAGTTTCACAGCTCCGGCGTACCACCAACATTCCTAAATTGTCTCTAGTAAACAGCAGGATCAGGACAACTACTCACCGTATTCCTCCTGTTGCTTTGGTTTCCTTTCTTTCTGCTTTTAAGTAAATGATCCATGCTTACTTCAGGTACCAGTTCTGTGATCTGTTCCTGCTGCTGTGCCCTACATATTTCTGTCTGGTTATAGCAACTCCAGTCACAAGCATGTTACATAGGTAGAATTAAGAGGGTTTATTTTCACTCACCCATAGCTTCCAGTTACCCATAAATGTTATCGCTTTCTCTTTATTCTTCCCCACCTCCTTGGGCTTGTGGGGGTGGGGTGGGTCTGCAGTTCAGTGGGCATTCACTATCTTATCTAAAATGCCTTATTAAAAATGTCAATAAGCAAACTATTTGATTATACAGGGCATTATAGCTAAGTCAAGGTATATTTTCATCTGGCATGCACGTAAATGAGGGGGTTAGTTAGCTTAGTTGGCTGCTGGCTAATTTGAGGGACGCCAACGGCATAGTTTCAATTCCTGTATCAGCTGAGGGCACCATGAAGGCTCCACATTTTTAACCTCGCCCTTCATTTGAGACGTGATGACCCTCAACTTAAACCGAACACCAGTCACTTCTCTTTAATGAGCGAGCACGTTATGGTCCTCTGGGACTATGGTAACTTTCACTTAACTTACGCGTGCTTCCGTTGGTTGCCATGGATTTGCAATAACGAACTGGAAACGTCCGACTGTATGTTAGTTCATTTATTTCACTGCACCAGCTGAGGTTACCATGAAGGATTCCCCTTCTCAGCCTCTCCCCTCGCCTGAGGCATGGTGACCCTCAGGTTAAACCATCACTAGTTGTCTCTTTGTAATGGGAGAGCAGCCCTACAGTCTGGTAAGACTACGGAAACTTTACTTTTAGCTTTATTTTACAGAAATCACGACTGAAAAGAAGAACATTCAATCCATTGCACCTATACTGGTGCTCACTCATCAGCTGGAGTAACCAACTTGAATTCCACTGGGCAACACTTTCATTCTATATTTCTACGGTATTCCTTTCCAAAAAGTTAATAGAATTGTAGCAATGTGCTCATTAGAAGAGCCCCTTCACCCTTGATTTCCAAGTTAGCTAATTCCTCAATTTAAAGATCGGCCAATATACTTACATTAAAGGAGGTAATGGTATAATGGCAATATCATTGGACTAATAAGCCACTACCCCAGGCTAATGTTCTCCAGACATGGGCTCCAAATCCACCATGGCAAATGGTGAAACTTGAACTCAATAAATATCTGGAATTAAAAACTAGCTGAATGACAATAATGCAAAACCATTGTCAATTGTTGTTCAAACCCATCTGGTTCACTAATGTCCGTTAGGGAAGGAAATCTACCATTGTTACCCAATTGACCTACATTTGACTGCAGGCCCACAGTAATGTGGGTAACTCTTGACTTCTCTCTGAAATGGCTGTAGCAAAACACTCAATTCAAGGGAAATTAGCAATGGGCAACAGATGCCCACATCTGGAACATATATTTTTAAATTATTCAATTTTTTCCCTTACAGTTTTCAGCCTGGGTGGATGCTGTTATATTTGTCTTCAGCTTGGAAAATGAGAAGAGCTTTGAGGCCATTTACAATTACTACACCAGACTCGCAAGCTACCGGAGTACAGCTGAGATTGCTGTGATGCTGGTGGGATCACAGGGTAAGTAAATTATTAGCACTGCTTCATCTCTGTTATATCTCAGTGGTGCAGGTTGCTGTGTAGGGAAGCGAGGGTAGCGAGGGAAATTCTTTCACTGATGGAGGAGTGGTTAGGGGAAAAAAAAGAAACCTTCCTGCAGCTCGCTCTCCCTACTTAAAAAGCCAGACATTTCAAAGCCTTTTCCTGCTCCTAAAACCAGTGGGGTTCTCACTGGATTTCAGTCTGCATATGTCAATGATATCATCAGGTCCTGGCTGCCATTTTAAGAAATAATTCCACAGAGGCCGGTATCCCATAACCAAGTCACCCTTAGAGCCAGTCACCCTCAGAGCCAGCTCTCAGAGTGGACAGGCTGTCTGACACTCCTATTTATATCTGTTAGCTAGGGCTCCCTGATTGGACCAAGTTAACAGCCCCAGTCAGGGAACTCATATTCCGTGAGGTGTACCCGGCTAACCTCCTCGCAATCACTACATTTTAATATTTTATTTTCTGAGTTGGCAGGCCACTGCAGTTTTGTCATCAGGGAAAGTTGACTAACAAAAGATCAGGGACCAGAAATGACTACTTAAAACAAGTTTATTTTCATTTTCTTTTGTGGCCGGGCACTGCAGAAGTCTAGGCCTCACAGGAAAAGCTTAGCTCTCTCCTGCTCTGGAATAACCCTGCCTCTTCCATCCCCTCCCATAAAACTCTGTCTCAGAGCCCCTTTCCTCTTCACTTATATGCATGTGGGCATGTCCCTCCCATTCATCTGGGCAGGAAGTGAACTGCCAATATATTAATAAGGTCTGTTGTCTGCTGTGGTGAGCGAGTTTCTAAATAATGCAAAAGCAAAGTACTGCAGATGCTGGAAAACCTGAAATAAAAGCAGAAAATACTGGAGACACACAGCATGCCAGGCAGCCCCTGCAAAGAGAGGAACAAGAGTTTAATTCAGGTTCATGACTTTTGACTTCACACATAAGTGAGTGGAGGTAGATATAGGGGAGACATCAGAGGTAGGTTCTTTACTCAGAGAGTGGTAGGGGCGTGGAATGCATTGCCGGAGAGGGTAGTGGAGTCGGCCTCATTAGGGGCATTTAAGTGGCTATTAGATAGGCATATGGATGATAGTATAAGGTAGGGGTGGAGGTTAGATAGACCTTAGGTTTAGGGTAAAAGTTCGGCACAGCATCGTGAGCCGAAGGGCCTGTACTGTTCTATGTTCTATAATGTAGGTCACAATATATCCAGCATTTTCTCTGTTTCAACTGAGTTTATCTGCCCAGAAATGGGAACAGGGCTGAGGTAGCTGTAAAGAGTTTCTTCACACTTGTAGTTTTGCTTATTTTATCACAGTCAGCCAGAATCTAAAAATACTAGCAACCTGAGATTAAACATTTTTTCAACCAAATGCACTGTTCTTTTGAGATACACTGGTGTGGTTCATTAATGCTGTCCCCCAGCAAGAGGAAACTAGAGATGCAGCAGTAGACAAAAAAGAGTTTTAGCCTTTGTCCGCCAGCTACTCCCGGTCCTCCAGGCATTGACTGTTTGCCTGTGATACTACTCTCTGCCATCAACTCTATCACTCTATACAGTGCTCCGGTTAAGTGATTATTTGTCACATGCCAATCTACACAATAAGTGTTGGCGGCTCAGAAAGCTATTCCTGCTCTTGCCCGACACAGTCTCTCCTGCCACTCTGAAATTCCATTCCAATGCCTGCACATATTTTTTAATTTCAAAAATATATTTTATTCATAAAAATCTTTATATACATACATAGTCACTAAAGCAACAAGGTGCAGAGCTGGATGAACACAGCAGGCCAAGCAGCATCATAGGAGCAGAAAGGCTGACGTTTCGGGCCTAGACCCTTCATTAGAAATGGGGGAGGGGAAGGGGGTTCTGAAATAAATAGGGAGAGAGGGGGAGGCGGATAGAAGATGGATAGAGGAGAAGATAGATGGAGAGGAAACAGACAGGTCGAAGAGGCGGGGATGGAGCCAGTAAAGGTGAGTGTAGGTGGGGAGTTAGGGAGGGGATATGTCAGTCCAGGGAGGACGGACAGGTCAAGGGGGCGGG